TGTGCGGGACTGCCTTCACTGGACAGTCACGGGCGTTACAAAGGCCCGCTGCCTCCACGCTGCGGGCATCAGCATGCTTCGATGCTTAGATCGCAATCTGATGGTTGGCATGCAGGTTCACAACCCAAGTTTCCTGCAGAACTTTGCGATTTCATAGCCTCGGCCATCGCAGCAGTCGCCCCTGCGGGGAAGGGCGGGAGCCACACTCCTGCTTGCATGGATAAGAACCCGGTGGTAGGCCCTCCTGTGGTTTCCCCGCCTGGTTCATCTCTTAGCTCCACCGGGTCCAGATTAGAGTCGACACCTCAGGCGCAACCCAGCACTTGCACCACAGGCGATGCCGCGAACTTGTGCAATCCAGATGCCAGCACTTGCACCACAGCCGACACCGCGAACTTGTGCAATACAGATGCCTTTGCAGAAAACGCTTGCATGGATAAGAACCCGGTGGTAAGTCCTCCCGTTGAAAACCCACCTGGTTCTTCCCTTTGCTTCACCGGGTCTAGCTTAAAGCTGGCACCTCAGGCACCCCCCAACACTTGCACCACAGACGAGGCCGCGACCTTTTGCAATCCAGATGCCGAAAACATCCTTAGGTCAGGTGCCGAGGTTTCGAGAGAACACAGACGTGAGATGTACAAATTTCTTCCGAAAGATGAACCTTCGGCCGAGGTGGATCATGCCATACCTTTCCGACCAGAGCTTCGTGGAAACAACGGAGTGCCTGTCAGAGTCAGCTGGGCGGGAAGCGAAGGTCCACTCACAGATGGTTTTGGTCTGTGTTCGCCCTCTAGGTGGACACCGAGCGCGCGTGGAGCACGGCTCGGCGAAACGGCGCGGCGTTTCGCATCAGCCATGCACACCTTGGTGAAATCATTTGTACTTCGGGTCATCCCTGATGCTGAAAGATCAGCAATGGAGCTTGTCTTGGGACGATACACTTCGTCCCCCTTCTCAGAGAAGGACATGTCACAGCTTCGCCAGCAATGGGTTAGCCTTTTGGGTGATAGTCAGGGTTTTGACTTGCTTGAGGTTCCGGAGAGACAGCCTTTCTTCTTGCCAGCCTTGGCACGCACCGCCGAGCTGCTTGAGGATCCGGACTGGGAGATCGTCACGCAAGGCAACGACAACTTTTGCACGGGCGTTCCCTTAGGTTGCGAAGAGGTCTTGCCACAGGTTCCGCAAGTCTTTGACTTTAAGTATAAGTCTAGGACACTTGACGAATCCGAGTACGATTGGGACAGATCGATTTATCAGAGCGCCAGAGAGTTTGAAGCACCTCTGCACGACAAGTTCAAAGAGGAGGAGCGACTCGGGAGAATGTTTCCGACAACACTTGGTGCGCTTAAAGAACAATTCGGCTCCGAACGTATTCGAATCGCTAGCCTCGGAGCAATCGGCAAGCCGGATGGAGGGGCAAGACCCATCCATGACGCTACACACGGCGTCCAAGTAAACAACACCATCAAAATAGAAAGCCAGCAGGCCGTTCCGGGACCGGCTGACCTTTCGTACATTGTCG